TTCTCTCCGTTTCTGAGCATCCAGTTTGGCCTCCATTGACTTGTTCTGCTCAGAGGAGCCTCCTTGTCCGGCTCCTTTGAGGCCCTTCCTCTCACCTGTGCTTCTCTTGGTACTCCGCTCTCTTCCCACAGTCCTTTCTGCAGAATATGTTGTGCCTACTCTTTTCACGGCTGTGTCCCCCACTGGACCACGGGTGCCCTGATGGTCTGTGGGGTTCAAATCTTGGTTAACTACACTGACTGACTCTGTGGAGGGAAGCTACCTACCTTCTTGATGTCTTCATGTCCTATCTGCCCTCTAGAAATCTCAACGTCCTTGTTCATCCAGTGGTAAGAATTTACACCCAGGTGAAATACTGGGGACAAAATGAAACCTGACACCTTGTAAGTGATTATCAGAGTTCCTAGAACATGTACCAATCCAGGTGACTGTCATCATCATTATCCTTAATAACACAGCCATCCGTGGGTCCCTGTGGCACAGGTAATAATTGCATCAGAGCTTCCCTGCCCCCCCTTGCTGTGGAATAGTCTCAAGTCTGGGATCACAAAGAGTAACAGTTAATTAATGATTTAGTTGAACTCCAAGGAATAGTTCTGAGTCTCAGACTGCTCATCTTTGAAGAAAAGAAGCTGGTGGAGGTATAAGCATGCTCGATTTCCTTAGCTTCATTCATATACTTTAGCATGTGTAATTCCAAGAGAAGGGGTCTAATTTGCACTGGTACTGCACATGACCTGTGTGGTAGAGAGGCTGATGAGTCGGGGTCAGAGCTGCCAGGACTGGTGCACATGGCTGAGTTGCCAGCGGGCATGTGGACACCGAGGAGGATGCTGGGAAGCTTTAGGAGAGAGGACTTCTTATATGAGGAATATTGTGGCATAAGCAAGGTCAGGTTCTAGGTACGGATCTTCATTACCAACAGAGCAAACTGGCATTCAGATGATGTCCGAGACCCGGTGAGAAGAGAGGGACCAATGGGAGGTAAAGGAGGGTCTCCACAGCTTCCCTCCTTTTTCTCTGTGGACATTTTGGACTTTGTCAAGAAGCAATTCTTTTTCTGAACCTGAGAATAACACTCACTTGTTTGTTTAAACGCTGCATTAGATGAGATACATAGAAACATTCCCATCTACTGTTCTGTGTGTAAGAGAGCAACCCCTTTGTTTTAATAGAGTGCTTTGGAGTGCTCCACATTACCATCTCTTCAGTTCTTCTAACAACTGTGTTGGTGGTAGTTGTTACTATAAACTCCTGTTTTTACATTTGGGGATGCTAAGGTCCAGAGAGGTTGACTAGTGGCTCCTGGTCTTAGGGATAGAAAGTGGCAGAGCCAACAGATTTTCCTTCCAAAGATCAGGCTATCAGAGATGGTCCTGTTAGTAGTATTCATAGTCAAGTGTCCAGTGGCTTTGTGGATGAGATCAGAGGTGGAAGCAGTTATTTTTTTAAGTCCCCCATAAAGCAACTTGTGACTCTGTGATTGAAACCTCAAGTAACGTGGAAGGAGTGAAGTTCTCCCTCTGTGTGACCCCCGCATCCTTGCTACCCCACCAGGCTTCTGGAGCAGCCCCGATCTGCATAGCTGCCTTTCAGACTTAGAAAGGCTCCGTGGAGTGGTTGGTCTCTTTTGCTTCTTTCCAGGGAAGAGCTGGTTGTCCTAAGACGTCTGGTGGCAGCATGGGGAGACATTGTGTCTGCAGATACCACCAAGGTTTGGGTCCTAGGAGGCTGTGTGAGATGAAGTGACCTTTGGAGTTGCGTATGAAAATGCATGTTTGTATATTCTCCGCAGCTGCCCCATGAAGCTGTCGTGCTACTTCCTCCTTGCTGTATGAGTCATCCGAGGCCCACAGTGGTTTAGAAACTTGCTTAGGAACATGAGATAAGGCTTGATGGTATTTAAACTAGATGAGCTTGCTCCAAAGCCTGTGTTATTGAATATACTATGCTCATTTTTCCCCTAAGTTCATTTTGTTAAGTGACTGACATCTGTCCATCCACTCATCCATTTAGAGACCAGCTCTCCATCCTTTCATCCACCACCTACCTATCCATGTGTCTCTCCATCCACTTCTCTTTCTGTTATCGATCTGTTCATCCATCTACCTATCCACCCTCTGATTTCACTGTTCATCATTCAGTGATCAATCCATCCTTAATCCAGCCATCCACTCACTGTCCATCTTTTCATCAGCCTCCCCTCCCCTCCCCATTCATTATGTTGGCTATCTGTCTAACATGCTCCTTTGCTTCATTTGATATTCCCTCATCTGAGAGCCAAGCATTTTCTGCCTTCCCTTCCCTTCCTCTCGCTTCCTTTCCCCTTTTCCTCCCTTCTTCTCTCTTCCTTCTCTCCCTCCTTCTCTCCCTCTCCTTTTTGGAGAGCTCAGGGCCTTGCTAGCCAGGTGCTTTACCACTTGGATCACTCCTTTGTTGGTCATTTCAAGATAGGTTCTTGCTGTATGCCTGGGCTTCTCTAGGCTGAGATCCATTTATGTATGCTTCTTCATGTCATTGGCATGACAGTGTGTGACTCTGTGGCCAAGCATTATGTTCCCCTGTAGCTGGGATGACAGACATGTATCACATTGCTAGCCTTTGGGTAAGATGAAGACTCAGAACTTTTTACTAGTGCTGGCTTTGAACTGCAATCCTTTAGATTTCCACCTTCCAAGTAGCTAAGATTATGGGCTTCAACCACCATGCCCATCAGATTGTGTGTTTTCTCAACCTGAAAACCTTCTGAATACACATTCCCTTGTTCTCAAGGACTTGTGTGGGCTTTTGCCATTCTAATTCCGCGCCCTTGGGAGTGATGCTATTCTAGGCTGGGTTGGGCTCCTTTGTCACCTTCCTCCCTCTGCAGGCATGCGGAGGATCTCTCCCTACAAAGGCCTCAAAATGAAGCAAAGCTACAAGCCCATCCACAACTCCTCTGGGCTTTCTGAAGAGCATTGACAACTATTTCACCAGTGTTCTTTGACCTATAGATTGGAAGTTGGATGAGTTGGACATGAGTTTACTTTTTACAAACTAGTATAGAGTTTGTGTGGCATATCTGTAAATTATGCAGTAAATTTCAAACAGATGTCCACAGAGCATTTTATAAGGAAAGAAATTTTAATTGGCCTGTTTAAATGGAGATAAATCAATTATGGAAACAATTAAAATTGTCTATGAGAGGCAGTATTGGGAAGAGGAAACATGGCTTAGCTATTTCCATATTTATTAAGTGCAAGGCAATAAAAACTGTTTAATTATTTTGCATAGCCTCTGTTGTGCATAAACCAGTGAGAGACAATCCCTCTTTACAAAAATTCAAGCATGTAAACAGAGGCCACTAATGAACCCTGCCTGAATTTCAGTTTAACTTCACCCACTTTACTCTTCCCATATTTCTTCATATGTTTCCACGTTGTAGTCTTGACTTAATTACATCACAATTCCATTCCATACAATTACATGTGCACTCAAATATAATATACTTTTGAATATAATCATTTACTTTTTTTTATTGAAGCAGCATCTTTGGGGTAGAACACTGGGAATTTTCACTGTGTTTTTTTTGGGGGGGTTCCAGTCATGGGGCCTGAACTCTGGGCTTGGGCGCTGTCCCTCAGCTCTTCACCTCAAGGCTAGCACTCTATCACTTGAGCCACAGTGCCACTTCCGGCTTTTTTCTTTTTGCTTATGTGGTGCTAAGGAATCGAACCCAGGACCCCATGCATGCAAGGCAAGCACTCTACCACTGAGCCACCTTCCCAGCCCTATCACTGTGTTTTTTTTTTAAATATTAAAAAAACCTCAAATCTGAATTGTCTGATACCCTTTGCTTATTAGTTCATCTGCCATTTGCATGAGGACTACTTTTGTTACTTTGAAGACACAGAGACAGTAGCACTTGGCTTGAAACTAGGAGGTAGGTTCAGATCCCACCCTGACATCATCCTGGCTGTTCCTTGGAGTCCCCTTCACATTTGGTTTCTTCATCTAAAATTGTGGTGTACCCTATAGGGCTCTGCTAGCCACATGGTGGGCTCTCCCAAAATGTCCTATCTCTTGGCCTTCTAAGTGTGCTCCTATGGTGCACCAGGTTTCCTGCTTGGCTTTGTTAATTATAATCCTTTCTGGTTGAGCTGAAAGAATTGTGCCGCTGAGACAGTTGACCTTGTGGTTAAGACTGGTGCCTGATGACAAAATCCCAGCATCTGAACAGAGCACTGAGAAGTCCTCTGAGCTACACTAGTGCATTGCTCTTGCAGAAATGAACACGTGGTACTTCTGTACATTGTGTGTGTGTGTGTGTGTGTGTGTGTGTGTGTGGTACTTCTGTACATTGTGTGTGGGTGTGTGGTACTTCTGTACATTTTGTGTGTGTGTGTGTGTGTGGTACTTGTGTACATTTTGTGTGTGTGTGCACGCGCTCGCGTGTGTGCACGCATGTGCACGCATGGCACACACAGAGTAGGAGAGTAGGACTGGTGTGAGCATGGTCCTTGTGTGGCTCTGCCCTTCCCACCTGCGGGACTTGGTTGAGTTCCTTCATCTCTTAGAACCTTAGTTCTCTCTTGGTAAAGTGGGGAAGTACTACCTCACTGGGTTGTTTTCAGGAGCATTTAAGATGGGCAGCAATTAGGATAACTTAGCGTAGTGCTGTGTATAGTATTGCTCAGAATGGAAAACCCACTCTGAATTGGTCTTTGGAAAAAAATAAGTCAATTTTGCTGCTATGCAAAGAATGACAGTCTCTTGAGAAAGCAAGCCTGCAGTGTGATTTCAGATGCGAGCAAGCATGGCTGGACACATGGCGGCCCCTGGCAGGGGATAGCAGCCGGGCACCATGGGACGTGACCACCTACCTGTATGCCTTTGGTTTCATTGAGTGATGTCCCTGATGTTCCTGGCAGTGCCAGCTGACCTATGCCAGGTTCCGTGTTCTTGCTGCCCAGGACTGACTTTCTCTTTCCTCTCTGTTTTCTGACTTTTTCCACCCAGGTTGAAAGGATTGTGGACAAGAGGAAGAACAAGAAAGGGAAGTGGGAGTACCTTATCCGATGGAAGGGCTACGGGAGCACGGAGGACACGTGGGAGCCGGAGCACCACCTCCTGCACTGTGAGGAGTTCATCGACGAGTTCAACGGGCTGCACGTGTCGAAGGACAAGCGGGCCAAGTCAGGGAAGCAGTCGGGCACCTCCAAGCTGCTGCGGGACTCCCGGGGCCCCGCTGTGGAGAAACTTCCCCACAGGTCTTCAGAGCCCGCCAAGAGCAAAGGGACTTCCCACAAGCGGAAGCGCATCAATCCTCTGTCTAAGCCCAAGAAGGGGCATTCAGGCAAGCCCCCCGCAGGTGGCGACAGGGCAGCTAAGACAGTGTCTTACAGGACTACACCCAGCGGCCTGCAGATCATGCCCCTGAAGAAGGCCCAGAACGGCTTGGAAAACGGGGATGCTGGCTCCGAGAAGGATGAGAGTCATTTTGGAAACGAGTCCCACCAGCCGGACTTGGATTTGAATGACCACGACGGAGAGCAGGAGGCCGGCGACAGTGATGGGACCCACTCGGCGCTGGTGGAGAATGGGCTTGGTTGGTGCTTTTCTTTTCCCTTGGGTTTGGTTTTGGTCAGGTGGGTGGGTGGCCTGCAGTCTAGGGAACGGGGAGGATGCTCTCTTCCTGACTCCTTTCCAGTCATGTTCCCTCTGTTCATTCCCCTTGTCCAGGGCTGTGGGTCTTATTTCCAAATTAGGCCCTGGCTGCTATAACAAAATCTGGAGGCTTGGTAATCTATCAGCAATAGAAATTGGTTTCCCACAGTTCTGGTGACTGGAAGTTCAAGGCCAAGGTGCCAGCAGTGTCAGTGCCTGGTGGGGGCTGCTCTTCAGAGGGGCATCATGGAACTGTCCTGACATGGTACAGGGTGGGGGTGGGGTGGGAGGCGTGGCCCTTTTCAGGCCGCTAACCCCTCTGGAGCTGAGCCCTCCACCTCTTGATGCTTCTGCATTGGGGGTGAGGTTTCAACCTGGGAATTTCTGGGGAAGGGAGTGTGGGACACTGGTATCCAGACTGCAGCAGGTGCACAGTGTCATCCTGACACCATCCCAGGCTAATTCCCTGCGTTTGCACTCTCTTGCTCCATCCTGGAAGCAACACAGCTTGTGTACACCATGTTCCATCCTGGAATTCCACCCTCCTGCTGAGTCTGTACAGGCAAAATTAAGGAAAGAGGAGGCAATGGCCCAGGTAATTTGAGCTCCCACACCTGCCGTTTCCTCAGCAGGTAGATTGCTCTGGAACTGAGTCCTAGGGGGCCCTGTATCTTCCCGGGAAGCTGTCGGTGCCAGGGATCAGTGTGTGTTCCCTTGTTTCTCAGACACCAGCGTGTCTACCAGTGTGTACGTTGTCCTCTTCGCTGATAGCCTTGATCCTTGGCAGGTGGGGGATCCTGTGTGGGCATGGACATGCCAGGGAGGGCAGGGCCATCTGGCACCTGCAGGAATGCTGAGATGTGAGAGGAGTGATGTGAGAGTGTTGATGGAACTTTGGGGTTCACTGGGGTGAGCTCGCCTTTTAAAGGACTCTTACTGGGGGGCTGGGAGCCCTCACTTGGAGGTTCTTTCTTCTCCAGAGTGGAGATTCACCCAAATAGGATTCATTTAGCCATCTGTGACTCACATTTCCGTCTGGAGATCCCTGGTGCTGGTGGGACTGTGCCTACTATATATGTAAAAGCTGTTAGTTTTGAACATGCAGCTCCTGGGGAGAAGTGGGCTGGGTACTGGAGGCTTGGCACAAGCGCCCATGTTTGCTGCTCCTGTAACAGCTGCCGCAGTCACCGGCTACCTATGGCAGGCAGGGTGACAAGCAGCTCCAGGTGTCTGGGGCTCTGGCTGTGGGTATGGGGAGTAAGCCCAGCACCCTTGGCTGTTGGCACCCTCTGCCCTGCTCAGAACACAGCTGCCCCCAAGGAGGCAGACGTGCAAGGGAGGGTGGTTTTCTGATACTACTAGACCCTGGTGTGAAAAAGAAGAAGGTGGCGTCCCTCATCCTGAATTGCTTTCTAAAGAAGTGCTAACTCTTTGCTGTCTGTCTTCGGCTCTCATTGAGGCCAACCTGGTCTTGGCCTGCTGTCAGGCAGGTTACCTCACAACCAGGAGAAGCAGGTGAGGGCCACGGTTGTCTTGTCAACTCCACTATGCTTATCTGGATGTCTCCCCCTTCTCATCTCTCTGGTGCTTCCAGTGTGCACAGCTGGGATGGGCAGGAGGAAGTGTCTGCCTCTCTCTGCTTTGCTCTGAGAGGGCCTTACTGCTTCATAGCGTGCTGTAATGGTGCCCATGAAGTCCACGTGGCTAAGCCAGTGCTTCCTGCACTGCATGCGTGTCAGATCAGCCTAAGACGGCGAGAGCTCATCACGTCTGTGATGGGGTGGGGCCCCAAGGGCGAGTTGACAGACCCATGGCCACTCTGCTGCATTTTGACGCATGCTCGAAGGTAGCCTGAGGTAGCAATTAAATTTCACATTAGGCATCTGTGCACTTTGGATTCAATACTAATCTTTTTTCCAGCACTTCCTGGATTACTGCTGGAAGTACAGTGGTAAAAGACAGGTAAGGGCTTTTCCTTCGGAAACTTACAGTCTACTTTCTGGTGAGTTAGAGTGGTTGCGTCTAGCTCTGTGCTGAGAAAGTGTGTGGGGCTGATCACACATGTGTTACAGACAGGCGGTGCCACTGTTCCACCCACATGAATGTCCCAGCCACCGTCAGCTCTGCACATTCTAGCTAGATGCAGCTTTTTATTCAGGTACGCAGGTGACCTGAGGAAGAAAATGGCTGGAAATTATTGCCAGAGATAGCAAGGACAATGGCCAAGAGAGTTGTTCTAGATTCTTGAACAGACAAACTCAAGAGAGAAGAGGCTCTGTTGGAGGAGGGCAGCCTGGTGAGGGAGTAGCCATGCCTGGGGTGGAGCCCTGATGTCCTCCTCCTACCCGCTCCCCTATTCTGTCTCCTGTGGTTCAATTCCCAGCACCCACTGCTGTGCCTGCAGGCTTGCCACACCAATCACAGGCTTGCCTTTCCCTGGCAGAAAGGGACGGGTTCTCCCAGGTGCCGCATACCAATGTGCTTTCCATGGTTTTCACTTCCTTTGGTGAATGAAAGGTCTGCATATGGAGTAGCGACCCGTGTGCTGCTGGCTTCCCCAGGTTCTGCTGTGGGAAGACATGCTAAATCGGGGCTCCGGCGGGTAGTGTTTTGGTTGCAGATTGTTTCCCCCAGCCGTGTTTATGAGGTGTATGCCGTACTCGTGTTGCTCTCAATACTGATTTTTCTCAGGTCATGACAAATAGCTTTGTGGTTCAGATACCATCTGCCTCAGTACCCCTTAGGGAGCTTGTTAAAACTCACTCCACCCTGATCAAATGGCGGGGCCTCAGGTGGGGGGGCAGGGTCTGCATCTTACCTGTCAACGGAATTCTGAGAGTGGGTGTACACAGGTTGTGAGCAGTCAGTCCTGGGTCCCTTGGAGGAGGGGAGGGTCGAAGTGATTGCTTGGATTTTAAGCCTGTATGTAGGAATGTGGACTTTCCAAGTTTTAAAACCTGACAGTTTCTGGTACCCTTTCCTGAACCCATCCTCTCTCTTCTTACCTAAAGCAGAGGTGTCACCTGAATGGAGAGGCTAGTTAGTTTGTTCCTCCCATTCTGTCTGGAACTGCTGGTCATTCTGTTGTTTAGAGGTGTACAGAGCCGCATGTCCATTAACCTGAGGGGACATGGCTCCCTATGCCTCCCCCTCCCCCTCTAGCCCAAGAAGGACACGCAGATGCCTGCTGCTCTCCAAAGCCTATGGCCCACGTCCACGTTGCTTTAAGTTTTGAGGGTCCTTTCCTAGTCTGAAGACTGCCCTCCGTCTCCCAACTCTTTTAATCTCAGACGTCGCTTGAGTCTATGTTTTCCCCATTATTCCTGCTGTTGAATGCATCATCCCACAGATTCTGGCAACCTTTGCCGTCTTCTGTCTTTTGATCTTTTAAGATGATCATAGCCTTTGCTTCTAGAATATTTGTTTATCACATCTTACTCTTTCAAGGTGATTATCATTTTCCCTTTATTGGTCAAAATCAGGAACCGTGTTTGGAAAGCAGGGCATGGTGGCATATGCCGGCACTCAGGATGCTAAAGCAGGGTTGTGAGTTTGAGGCCAGCCTGAGTTACAAAGCTGTTTCATAGAGGAGCACTTTAGTGCTGGTGCCAGTGGAGGAGTGCCCTGTCACTCTCCAGCCTCAGTTTCTCAGAGGTGGAGCCAGAAGTAAGTCTGAAGAGTGGGTAAGAATGCACATGTGCATTTCCATCAAGTTATCTGCTTCTTCTCTCTCCCCACCATGCTTGAGACCATCATCCTGGATTAATGAGTGCTGTGATGGCAAGATGGATATGTAGGGGTTCCTGCATGCTGGTTGTTACAGGGAGAGAGGTAGAGTGTGTCTGTACTCTGGATCTTAAAGTTTGCTTGTAGAAAACTTGGAGAATAGAATGTTTGTGAATTGAAGTTTTGGAGGATAGGAACTTACCCTGAGGTACAGCCTTGAGGTTTGCAAAGTAGCTCCAGCAATCATGCAGTTCTAATCAGCAGTACTCTCTGTATGACAGAAGTGGAGGGTGAGGTTACATGAGGGCTTAGGTTGGGGCCAGCTGAGAGACCTAGGCAAGGTGCTCCAGCTCTGGCCGCTGAACTGCTCAACTTGCTTCCAGACAGTAAAAAGCGATCCCTAAGCTCTGATTATTCAGACGTGGGACAGGAGTGCTGCTGGGACCCGCTTCTGTTTCCCAGCCCCCCTTGCTTCCTGTCCGACCGACATGATGTAAGCTTACAGGACGAGCTCTCCACAGTTCAGTTTGAAAACTTGGATATAATGGTCCATTTCCTAGAATATTGAAATTTAACTAAATCGAATGTGACATTAGAAATTTCACAGAAGGATCCTGAAAGAAAGAACACAAGGTCTATGTGATTTCACAGGTGCTTTGGAACATTCTAGAGCAGGTCATCTAAGCCCATGGTACACATCATCCCTGCTGGTCTAGATGATTGCAGAAAGCAGAGAAAGAGAGCACGTGGAGTCCAGAAGATCCTAGACTTCAAAGCAGGCAGAGAGAGGAGGAGGAAGACAGTTCATAGGACAGTCTCACTCAGGTGCAGGACAGTTCTGAAGAGTCCAGTCCATGGACGCTTTCCCAGTGCTTGACCCTTGCAGGAGCTTCTCACTCCTGGCCCTCCCGAAGTTGGTTCCAGCGCATGACTGAAGAGCTGCGGCTACTTCTAGAGGCTTCCAGCTTAATCTGGAAGAGCCTTTTCAGGGACAGCTATCTCAGGACAGCCCTGAGCGTCCTGGGACAGGGTTCCAACCCATGAGTCCAGGCCAGTGTCCACGTGATGCCTCTTGCCAACCCAGGCATCCGTTTCCCCAGCACAGCGTTCTCTTCATGGGTGCGGAGCCCCAGCTCTTCTCAGGTCTACAAATGCTGACCCATCCTTTGGGTGTTCAGAAGTAGGGGATTCTCCAAACCGGTAACAACAACAACA